CCTGGGGGTGTGCGGGGGGGGGGAGGGAATGCGGCTCAAAGGGCCCCGGGGCAGCGCCCGGCGACAATTGTCCCGCTGCGGCTTAATCCCTTGCGTAACCCGGGAGAGCAGCTTGTTTACCGGCCTTCCCGCCTCGCCCCGGGGGGGGGGAGAGGGACCTCTCCCCGCTCCTGCCTGGGGAAGGGCTGCTGATTCATCCCCACCCCCCTCTTTCCAGGGGCTACGTCTGCATCATCACGAATGTGGCTTCAAAATGAGGAAAAACTGCCGTAAACTACACTCAGCTTGTTGACTTGTACGCCCGATACGCTGAGAGGGGTTTACGCATCCTGGCCTTTCCCTGCAACCAGTTTGGAAAACAGGTAAGTGGTGGGGGGAGCTGGGGCGGGGGCTCCCCCTCTGCCCCCCAGGGCGCTCACAGCGTGTCCCTTCCCTCGCCTTCCCCAGGAGCCCGGGGACGAGGCTCAGATTAAAGCTTTTGCTGAAAACTACGGTGTGAAGTTCGACATGTACAGCAAGATCGACGTCAATGGGGACGATGCCCACCCCCTCTGGAAGTGGCTGAAGGACCAGCCCAAAGGGAGGGGCACCCTGGGCAAGTGAGTGTGGGGTGGGGGCTACAGAAAGCCCCCCGGGGGGTGGGGAGCAGGGAGGGGGCAGCTCAATCCCAGTGGGTGGTTGGGCTGCAGGACGAGGAAGGGGGTTTTCTGCCACAGTCTCACTTCTGTTTTTTTTTTTTTCTCTCTTAGTGCAATAAAATGGAACTTCACTAAGGTAGGACACGGCCGCCTGCTCCCGGGTTTCCCTGGGTCACACCTTTGCTCTTTGGGGGGCGGTGGGGGGTCCCGGGGGCTGTTGCAGGGAGGAGGGATCCTCACACCCAGGCTCTGAGCCGTGTGGGTACCCGGGGTGGTGGGTAGGAGCATCCCGGGGGGCTCCTGTGCTGTCCCGGTCCCTGAGCCTGGAGCCCCCCGGGAGCCCCTGGCCCAGGGGGGCCGTAACGGGCTCCAGCCCCACCGTGGGCAGCTCCCAGGGGTGCAGAGCCCACCTTCCAGCTGCACTCACCTGGTGCTGCTTGGCTTCCACAGTTCCTCATTAACCGGGAGGGCCAAGTGGTGAAGAGGTACAGCCCCATGGACGATCCCTCCGTAAGTGCTGCTGGGGTGGGGGGACAGCTCAGACCCCCGGGAAAAGGGGAAATGCAGCTTCCTGGGGGTCACCTCTGGGGAGGAAGGGAAGTGCCGGGGCTGAGCAGCCTCCGCTGCTGCGTCTCCGCTCTTCTCCTTTGGCTGGGGGAGAAGAGGCCTCCTGTGCTCTGGGGGGTGGTTGTGGCACCGGGGGCCCTGGCTGCGCGGCACGGGGCGGGTGGGTGGTTCTGAGCAGGTTTCTCTGGAGTCTTTGGGTGTGTTTTTGGGATAACGCTGTTCTTGTAGCACAACGCTCCCTTCCTTCTTGCAGGTGATCGAGAAGGACCTGCCTCCCTACCTGTAGAGCCGCTCCTCTGCCCCCTGCCCTGTCCCTGCCCCCCAGCACTGCCCTCCTGCTGCCGCAGAGTCTCCTCCAGCCCCAATGACGGGCTGCCTTCAAGCCAGCTCGCTGGTGAGGCAGCCCTGAAGACTTGGCGTACACTCGCTGGAAGAGGCTTTGCGGGGCCGGCGGCCGCTGCTGGGGCAGCCCCTTTCTGTGGGATCCCACCTCCCCCCCCAATAAACCTGTTAGAAGTGACCGGTTGTGTCTGGGCCTGTGGCTTTGAGGGGTGGGGGGGACGGGGCTGGGTCTGCTGCGCCGCTCCCAGGGAGAACCCGGAGCTGTGCAGGGGAGCCAAGCCCTTACACAACTCCTGAGCCCCGCGGGGATTATCCTCATTACTGCTGGGGGGGGGGATTGCACACAAATCCCAGGTCAGGAGTGTTCCCGAGGGAAAAGCCAGAGCGGGGGGGAGGTGTGTGTGTCCTCCCTGGGATCCTTCCTCGCCCAAACCCGACGGGCGTCTGCCCCGATGAGGCAATTGGGGTGTTTTTCTCCAAACACAGAGTGTGGGTGCTCAGCAGCGCAGCCCCGGCCCCCAGCCCCCTCCTGGCCCCCAGTCCCGGCGCTGGCACAAGCCCTGGCCAGGGCAGCGGCTGCAAAACAAACCCCAGTCGTGCTGGGACATGCAGAAATACGTGGCTGGAGCTGTGTCTGACCACAGCCAGGGCTGTGTCTCCTGGAGTCCTGGCCACACCGAGTCCCCCCAGGGGCAGTGTCCCCACAGGCAGGGAGAGTGTGGGTTTTAGGGGTGACTTGCTGTGTAGGAGCACTGCCTTCCCCCTTTTCCCTGGGGTCTGGGTCCCCCTGGAGAGCCCTGTCCTCCCCTCGGGAGTGGGGAAGAGCCCCAGGGTCCTTGCAGGGATCACCCCCCCGCACACCCAGGACTCGGGGAGGATCCTGCCTGCTCTCCCCCTGGAGCAGTAAGGCTGGTTTTGGGGGTGTCCCCCAGGCTCGCCCTGAGCTCTGTGGGCAAAGGCAAGGCACAAATTGCTCTTTGAGGGGAGCCTGTGGCTCCCCCCGTCCCACCTCCCGCGGGGACAGAGCGGTGCCGGGGCGAGATGTCCCTGTGCCGCAGCAGCTGGAGGAACGGCCCCAACAGCGGCTCCTTTATCTGTGTTTTTCCAGCAAAGCCCAGAGAAAACAACCCCCTCAAAGGGCAGAGCCCGCGGCTCCAGGAGGATCCTCCTCCGCAGGGGCCCAGAGAGAAGGGGGGTTGGGACAGCGGGTCCTCAACTGCCACCGGGACAGTGACACTGGGGATAAACTCCAGGTGACACTGGGGATAAGCTCCAGCTGCCGGGAGGACCCTGTCCCTGGGACTCCCCACCCTGGGGCAGGTCTAACCCTCCGGACAGACGGACAGACAGAGCTGGGACTTACAGAAAGCTCGGATGTGGCTTCCTTTCCATTTTTACTGAGCACAATGAAAAATTATCCTTCTGAGGCAAGTAGAAAATCCAGGAATTATTAGTCAAAGGCACATATTCTAAAAAAAAAAAAATCTCTTTACATATATACATCTCAATTAATTATAAATACACATAGAAAAACAAAGGCAAACAACAAGCGGATTAAAAAGTGCTAACAAAAAGGTGTAAGGGAAGGAAAAAAAGGGACTCATTTAAAAATACGTACAATCAGTAGGACAACTGCATAATAATTTAGTTTAAAAGATATTGTTACATATTATTAACCCTGACAAAAACACAGGATCGGGGCAGGGAAGGGCTTTCTCCAAGGTGCTCTCTGTCTGCCCAGAGATCGGGGAGGGACAAATTGCATATATTTTTAAGATGAAGGTCGAAGCCACCAGGACAGGCCCCGGGTGCCGCGGGGCGGGGGGTGCCGGGCGGGAGGGCTCCTCCTCGCTATTCCTGAGTTTAAGCCTCTCTGAAATGGGTTTTCCCTGTTTTTCCTCTCCTCGCCGAGATCCCAGCGAGCGCTGAACGAGCCAGGACCGGGGTGAATCCAGCCCCCCCCCCCCAGTGCTGTGGGGTGGGATGTATTTTAAATAAAGGGGGGTCTGGGGCCTGGGGGGGCCTTGCTCTGTTGGGGACCAGGAGAAAGGGCCGTCGGGCCCCCGAGAGCAGCGATGCCCCACGGCCCCGCGGCGAGAGGCGAGAAACGCTGCGGGACAAGCACAAACCTCTCGGGGCGGCAGCAGGGGACTGGGGGGGGTGGGGGGTCACGCAGGGGCTTCCCCCCATCTTTGGTGTTCACTTTGAGGTAAGGAGGTTTCCTTGAATGCAGTAAAACGGGGCCCCAACGGCAGGACAGACCCGGGGGGGGGGCGGGGGGGGGCAGGTGCCAGCTGGGGAGGGTGGGGGGCAAGGAGAAGCCCCCAGAAGGAAGGGCAGGGACCAGAAGGACCTCAAACCCGAGCCCAGAGGGACATGGCGGGGGCAGTTCCGTGGCCTCGGTGCCCAGGGAAGGCAGGTCCCATCCCAGGAGGAGCACGAACGCTGTGGCCACCGACCCAAAGCTCTTCCCAGCAGCAAACAGGGCGCTCGGCCGGGCTCTGGGGGGGAACTGGGGGGTCAGGGCTCTCTGCCTGGAGGAGGGGGCTCCACCAGCCCCCTCAAGACTGACCCGTCAGGGCACGGGGGACCCAGCAGAGGCCTCTCCCGGCTGGAGCCCCTTCCCCAGGTCCTCCCCAAGGAAGGGTCAAGCCCAGCCAGGGAGGGTCTCCTGTCCCTCCCCAAAAACAGCCACTTGTAGGAAACGCCTCGGTGACTCCAGGCAGAGGGGAAACGTGGCCGATGGGAGGCCAGGTCTGGAGCGTCCCCGGAGCAGGCAGCCCCCTGCCAGGATCCGTGGGACAGAGGGAGAAAACAAGAGACAGTTCCCCGGGACCTGCCGAGGGGAGATGCTGCTGGGACAGGGACAGTGACCAAAGCAGCCGGGGGCCACCTGTGTCACGGGGCAGCTTGCCCAGCTCCGGGCCGAGGGGCAGCGGGGTGTCTGGGGCAGTGCTTTGCAAAGCAGAACTTTGCTCTTTGGTACTGGAGGGTGAATTTGCAGCGTGAGCAGCGACACCGCCCAGCCCCGGGGCTGCCCAGGGATCTGTGGGGCTGGGGAGCAGCTCCGAGGGCAGGGCTGGGGATCCCCACACGCACCCCACGTCCCTGGCCCAGCCAAGGACGAGCCCGGCAGAACCGGAACGGTGAGATGGCCAGGTGAGGGGACACCAGGTGACAGCAAGAGGAGGGAGGAAGCAGGGCCAGCCACGGCGACCCGGCGAGGCTAAAGTGCAGGACAGGCTGACGGGGCACAGGGCCCTTCTGCTCAGGGGATCCCCCCGTGGTCCCGGGGTGGCTGAGCTCTGACAAACTCACCAGCTCTGCCACCAGCTCCTGCCTTCTCCCGCGGAGCTCAGGCAGCCCCGGAGGTGCCGGTGTCCCTGCCCGCGGAGGGCAGAGCAGGCAGTTTTGCTTCTCCCTGCTCAGCCCTGCCCAGGGGGACACCCGAGCTCTGGGACCCCATTCCCTTCCCCTTCACCCCACCTTCAGAGTCCTCGGGGTCCACAGAGCGCTGGGGCGGCCCGAGGGGAAAGCTGGCAGCAGTTTGGCCACCAGCTCTGGGGGGACCAGCTCACTGGGCTGGGGGGCTGGGGAAGGCACGACCAAGGGGAACTCAGTAGTCTGCAGGGGACGGGCAGGGAGGAGCAGGGGGGGGCTCAGTCCTACCCGGGCACTGACCTTTGAGCAGGGCTCCAACACAGCAGAGACCATCAGTCCAGATCAGCTGAACCCGGCAGCTCAACTCCCCCCAAGCGCATGTTATATACAAATCTATACATGCCTGACTGTATATTATATATAAATAAACTTTGCTTTAAGGAACTATATATGTTTTTTTTTTCTTCCCTCAAAACCAGAAAAGGGTCAGTCCAGACCAGTAGAAAAGCCGGGGCTCCCCAGCTCTCACCTCTGCGCCGAAGGCGATGGGTTCCCAGTGGCCGAGCGCGGCCCGGCCGGCGTTCAGAAGTCTGGGAAAGGGCCACTGAACTGGATCACGCTCTGGCGCTCCTGGGGGAGCATGTTCTCCTGGGGGGCCCCATTAAACGTCCTGAACATGTCCTCCAGGATCTCTCTGAAATTGATATTCTCATCCTGTTGGAGGAAATCATCCTGCTGCTGCTGCTGTGGCTGCTGCAGGGTCTGCAGGGGTCCCGGGTGAGGCAGGGGATCGTGCAGCGCCGAGCTCACAGGAACGCTCCCCTCCAGGATGGGGGCCGGGCTCTTGAAGGCTGAAGGGTGGCTGAAGCCGAAGGACAATCCGTGCTGCTGGTGCGGCTGGAGAACGGACTCCGAGGAGAAGCACAGCCCCCTGGGCTCTGGGTTCATCACCACGTCGGGAATGCTGTTGCCGGGAGGGCTGTAGGTCAAGTCCAGGATCTCGTCCTGGCACAGGGAGTGCCCGGGCAGGGAGACCCCAGGCCCCGTCGGCGTGAGGTCCAGGGGCTGGGGCAGGATGGGCAGTGGCAGGGAGAACTGTGGGCTCTGCTCTTGGCCCTGCAGGAGTCGGTTGTGCTTTCGCTTCACGTTCTCGTCCATCTGCTTCAGCTCCACCAGCACCTTTTGGACACAGCTCTCGGGGATCTTTATCCCTGGGGGAGGAAGGTGCATCAGTCCCCAGAGCGCTTTGGGAAGGGATGGGGCACTGTGGGGACAGGGGGACGGGCAGCAGCTCTGGGGGCTGTTTGTCACACACAGCCCTGGGTGCTTCAGCTCTCACCCGGGCTGCAGAGGGGGGAGATGGGACCACAAACGGAGCAAAACCAGCCCCACAGCAGGCTCATGGCAGACAACAGCAGCACTGCTTCTCGTGGGCACCACGGGGCAGCTCCAGCCTGGCTGACACCCTCTGCCCAGCTCCCCACCTTCCCAAGGGGTTACCCAGCACCGGCTGCTCCCAGGCTGGAACAAGTCCCCTTCTTAGGAAGGGAATCTTGGCCCTGGGCAGCTGGACCCCTTCGTTCTTCTCCTAAAATGTCCTGCTCCCCTTCCCTCCCCCAGCACTTCACCCACCGACTTGTTTCTTCTTCTCCTTGGTCTTGAGGCGGACGATCTGCAGGTAGCTGGTGTTGGTGATGTCTGCCATGACGCTGGCGATCCTGCTCCAGACCCGCAGCAGGGCCCCGCACAGCATGTAGTAGTGACGCAGGCGCATGCCCTGGAAGCACTCCTTCCCCTCCTGGATCAGCTTGCAGTTCCCATTCCTGCCATCCAAAGGGGAGAAAACAACCCCAATTAGCAGAGGCTCCCGCAGCAGAGGGGGATCCCCCACCCACAGGGCCCCCGAGGGACCCTCTCCCCAGCACCAGCCCTGCCCTGGGGAGGGAGGGGAGGCCGGGGCTGCAGCCCCCTTACCAGGCAGCATGGTTACAGCTCTTCAGGGATAAGTGGTAACTGTTGTTCCAGTGCTCCTTGGCTTCCTCGGGCAGCACCTGCAGAAGAGACAGAGAGAGGCAGGGATTTTCCACTGTCCAAGATGCAGCTGAGACATGAAATCCAGGGCCGGGAGTGGGGACACCCAGGTGCTGCCACCAGCTCTGCCTGACCCACACCAGGACTCTGAGGAGCTGTGAGAGGGTGACAGTGTCCTTCCAAAGCCACCCCTGCCCAAAGAAAGAGGATTTGCCCCTCCCCACACCAGAGGGCCACAGTTCCCACCTACCTGCCGGTACTTCTTCTGCAGACTGTCCAGACTCTCCAGCTGGCTCTGCTTCCCAATGTTTGGTTTGTAGAGGATGAAGTTCTTCCCGCGGCTCTGCTCTGCCAGCAGGCAGGTGTATCTGTGGCCTCGTGTCTGGTGGGGAGAGACAGTGGTTACAGCCTCTTCCCGAGCCCATATTTCTCTAAACTAACCCCTTCCTTCCAGGATGGAGGTCCTTGGAGGCATCTCCCAGCCCGCAGCAAGGGGTCTGACACAGACCTCTTACAGCCAGAGGAGATGTCCCATTGGACTCACCCTCCGAGCTGGGGTGCCACCCTGGCAGAGCCCAGGGACTTACCTTGCGGGAGAGGTAGAACCCCTCAAAGGATCCTGTCAGTTTGAGCGACTTCTCGTAGGCTTCCTCCCACTTCAGGCCTCTGTCAACACTGATCTACACAGGGACAGAGAGAGGGGTGCGGTAATTTCAAGGGGCAGGACACACACATCAGTGTCTGTCTCACAAATCCCACCCTCAACACAAACTTGGGGATGCTGCAGCCTAGAAACAGGCACTGCAGATGTGACACAAACACGACACAAAGCCACAGGGCAGGGGGACAGGGATCCAGCAGCTCACAGTCCCGGACAGGGAAGGAGAAGGCTGGGCTGTGGGGGTAGCTCTGCAGGCTGCCTACCTTGTAAAACACAACCTGCCCATCCTGCGGGTGCCCGGGCGTCAGGAAAACCTCCTTGCTCTCCTCGTAGATCTCATCCACTCCTGGGGCTAAATCTGCAGGAGAAAAGACTGCTGTAAGATCCACCTTCCCGTACCAGCTCCTCTCCCTGCAGGAGTCTCAAGATCTGTGCTGTGTGGGGACACCGCAGCGCCCGAGATGGCCATGGCCATGGAACTGTCATCCATCAGCACAGGGAGGAGCAGGGAACCTCAGGGGTGCAGTAGGGAGAGGTCCAGCCACCCCTCTTTCTCCGTACCTAGGATGCCCATGTCGTATTTGCCCTCCTTCTTGTCCTTTTCGATCAGATAGTCAAAGGTGTCCGAAAAATACTGGAAGAGCATGTTCTGCTTGTCCACCTCCAGGCCCAGGATGCGGTTCAGGAACTTGGTGATGGAGCAGTCTGCAAGAGCATGGGGGGTCAAGGACCACGGCGCAGCTGGGCACGGAGCCCACCCCATGTCCCCAAAGACAGCCACCCAACAGAATCACAGAATCATGTGGGGTTGGAAGGGACCTCTGGAGATCACCTAGTCCATCCAGTCCACAGGACCCTCCCCTCAAAGCAAAGATCCTGCCCCCACCGCACAGCGAACCCCCCGAGGCCATGCTCCCCCAGAGATGGAGCAGCTGGGCTGGGACCTTTCCACAGGAAAAGCTTGACACCTACCTTTCTCCACAGAGACAGTGCCATACTTCATCTGGTTGCAGCAGATCCCCACAGAGATGAGACCTTGCTTCATTTCTGAAGGGCAGAAGACAGTGTTTTCGGGTTAATCCCCCCCTCAGCAAACCCGCAGGGCTGCTCCCCTCCAGCTCTGCCCATTATTTTACAGCTAAGTCTCTCCCAGGCTCTTTGTGCCCCCAGGCCTGGCAGGGTGACATGCTCCATGGTGAAGGTAGGGGTACTGCTCCCTCTCTGACCTTCCTCTTGGCTCTTCAGCCATCCCAAACCCGAGACCAACCTGCCCAGAGAGAAACCCCAGAGCTGCTCATGTTCTTACCGTGGAAAAAGGCGGCCTCCCCTTTGTCGTAGCTCTTGGGCACAGGAACTCTGTTCTCCATGTGGTTGAGGATAGTGGAGAGGACTCTGTCCAGTGCTTTAGCCCCGTACTGTGAGAGGAGACAAGAGTTACACATGGGACACGCTTCCAGGGGCAGCTCAGAGGGACTGAGTGTGTCACAACACTTGTGCTGGCGCTGCAGGGAAAGCCACCGCTCCGGGAAGGCCACTGGCTGGGTCGCTGAGCCAAGGGGGAAGCTGTGTGTCAGGGGCCTCCTCTGTTCCTGGGGGACCAGTGTACAGGGCCCTGCACGTCCCCATCCCGGCGCTGGCACTGGCTCCCCTGGGGACAGAGCCCCAAGCACCCTCCTGGATCCCACGGGAGCACAGTCCCCCGACCAGTGCGGTGCTGGTTTGCTCCCACTGGTGATTAACCCCACTCTGGACGCTGTACTGGGGGAAGGTGTGGGGCGCTGGGTGCAGGGCTGGATCCTGCCTGTAGATGCCACCAATGATCCTCCTGGCGCTGGCTCCTGCTCGGGGCCCTCCCCAACGACTCCCACCCCTCCTCGGCTGAGCCGCCCCGAAAACAGCCTCAACTTACCTTATTCTCAAAGTTGTACTTGCTGAGATCTCGGGATTCGGTGGCCCGTCGGTCTCCATGGGTTAAGGCACCCTGGGAAGGCAGAGCAAGCAACAAGTTCTTATTTTTGGCCGTTGCAAAACACCAGAGAAGGATGGTGAAAGCCATGTCTCGGAAGAGGCCAGGATCAGAACAAGCCATGGGGAGGCAGCACTCCTCTGGAACACTGAGACCTTGCCAAGGTATTTGGGGATTTATCAGAAGTGAAGAAAAATGAAACAGAGACAAACTAATTATTCCATTAATTATTTCATCAGCTTTCCGGAAGCAGATGGGTTTATGCTCCTGTAACAGTGGGGGAATTCCAGCATCTGGAATCGGGTTCTGCTTCCCTGAAATTCCTCCTGATGCCTTGGTTACGTATTCGCCTTCACTTCCCTGCCCAAACCCCAGGGTGCTAAACACCTTCTGCCTTCCACCCCTGCGATGCCCTCACTCAGGGGGTGCAATGCCCCGTACCAACGGGCACACCGGAAGGGAAGCTCTGCAGAGAGCACTGGAGCTGCCCCGCTCACCTCTGCTGCGGGCACTTACCAGGCTCTCCAGACGCTTCGCCACGATGGACGCAAACCGCCGCTCCCCCGCCAGCTCCGAGATGAGGAAGACATACTCTGGAGCAGAGACCTGGTTCGATCGGTGCGTTCGACCTACAGGGACATGAGGGGAGAAGTGAGAGGTTGGTACAGCCTGTCTGGTGTGGGAAGGGAAGCCGAGGGAGAGGGGGGACCGTGACCAAGAGCAGCCAGCACTCACCAAACTGCTGGATGGCCCGGTCCGCGCTCCAGGGCAGCTCCAGCGTCATGTGCACCCGGCGCTTCTGGTTCTTCACCCGTCTGTCTGCTTGGAGAGAGATACCTGAGCTGGAGGCCTCGGAGATTATTGCTACGAGCTAAGGGAGAGAGACAACAAGTGGGAAAGGGAGTGAGGATCCTGAACATCTGCAAAACTGCTTCAAGAAACAGTCCAAAGCCCAACTTCCCCAGCCCGAGAAGGGACCCAGGACTCCCTGTCACCTTCCAGCAGACAGACAGACAGAAAGCTGCTGGCCTTGCTGGCCTGAGGCTGGCAAGGCAGGAGCAGGCAAAGGCAACCCCCACACTTCCCCCCGCTCCCGTGCAGCTGTTTGGAGGTTCCCTTGGCTCGAACCTGACTCACCTTTTCCCCTTTCATAAACCTTCCTTGGCTCGAACCCGACTCACCTTTTCCCCTTTCATAAACCTCTCCTTCTCCTTCAGGTTGACGTGGTCGATGGAGAGCCCTTGCTCCGCGCGAGACTCGAACACGACGGAGCCGTCGGGTCTGCAAACCACGCGGCCCTTCCGCCCCGTCATCTGCACACACCCAGGGGAGAGAGGGGCTGTCAGCAGAGGGGGGAGACCCGCCTGGCGCAGCAAGACCACTCTCAACACCTTTTTCAGATTGCAAGGAAGGAGAGGAGCCCCCCTTCCAGCAGGAACCCCCTTTGCCGGCCCCTTCTCCTGTCCCCCAGGGCCCCCGAAACTCGCTCTGGACTGTGAGGGTACCTCGGCCACGTGCTCCGGGCCCCCGAAGTGATTGATCAGTTCATCCAAGGTATTGAGAGGTAGCTCTTTGCCCAGTGCTTTTACTTTAGCGAGGAGGTCCTGCTTCATCTTTTCCACGTGTTCCAGCTCCCTCAGGCCGTGCACATCTTTCCGGGAAGTCAGTGTGTGAAAATTACCTGCGACAGAAAACGCAGAAGTTTAGAGTTACCTGGTAATTGCAAATCAGAGAAGGAAAAAAAAAAAGCTGTCCCAAAGGGCTCCCGGGGACACTATCTGAAGAGCAGGCAGACCCCCTGCCTTGCAGTAAATGCTGCTGAGGAGTGACTTCCCTCTGTGTTTCCCCGTTTTGGTGGGGAAGGAGCACGTGGGGCACATTCGTTCTGCTCACGGATCACAGCAGGTTAATGTGAACCAACCTCCCCAGCCCAGGTTTGACCATCACAGGGTAAAACCCAGCCGAGGTCACCAGGCTGTGCCAAGCACAGGAGGAGCTTCAGAATTCCATCCAAACACCAGGAGAGTCTCCTTCATCAGCTCAGACTCCACAACCCCCTTTGCCAGACCCCTCCCCAGGGTCACAGCTCTGCCTCTGCTTGCAGGACAGTGGGGTGGGTGGCTGTCCCCAGGTGAGTGACCCCAGTAAGGAAGGAGCTGACCCTGTCCCGTGTGCCCTTACTCCTGTCCTCGGCCGCGAAGCCGTTGTAGGTGTGCTCGACGAAGATGACATCGTCGGTCTCAAACACGGACTCCGGGGAGGAGTTGAAGTCGCTGTCGAGCCCCATGTCGGAGTCGGTGCTGCTGTCATCGCTGATCTTGATGACACCCGTGAGGTCACACACCCCTCTCAGAGCCTTGGTGCAGCGGCCCCTCTGCCTCCCTGCTAAGGGAGAGCGAGCGGCGTCACGGGAGAGCCCCAGCCATGCGCGTCGGTGCAGAACAGCAAGCGCCAGCTCAGACAGAGGAGGAGAAATCACAAAATAGCTGAGATTGCCCCAAATGAAAGGCTGATCTTGGAAAGATAGAGCCTCTTGGGTGGGGTGGGGGGCAGTGAGGGCGGGAGGGAAGGAGAGAAAGGAAGAGAGAGAAAGGAAGAAGGTGGCAATCTCAGTTGGGGCTGCAGCCAGTCGCACACATCTGGATGAACACGCTCTAAGCAGCGCTGACTCCTCGGGGAAGGAGCCCGCAGGGCTGACTGCCCCTGCAGGAGTGTGCAGGACACGGGAAGGTACAAGTGATTCGGGACATTGTGTGGTTCCAAGCACAGTAAGACATGCCCCAGCTGCACAACAGGGCTCACAAACCCGCTGGCACAGGCTGCTCTGTGACAGCAGCCCATCAGGACCATCTCTGCCAGTGCTGCTGGCCCCCTGCGCCCCCTCCCCACCCCCCACTGGAGGAGTAATCTCCAAATTCTTCTTACCTGCAGCCAAGGATTTGGCAGGGAAGGGATTTTTTCCCCCCCAGGACCCCTGCCACGCTCTAGGTAAGGGGTAGTGGAGAACCCCCCCTCGCTGCCAGAGGGCTCTGTGCAGTCTGCCCACAGGCTGGGCAAGGAAACGGCCCAGGGAGGGGGGGCACAAGCCACTGGGCAAGTGGTGGAGGAGAGGACCTACGCTGTGACAGGGAAGTGGGTTAGAGGGAGGAGGGGGTGAATGACCCAGAGCTGCCGTCCTCCGGGTGAGAGAGCGGTGGGAGATGTGCGGGAGAGCAAACTGAAACCAGGGCAGAGCAGCAAAAAGCGTGAAGTAGGGAAAAGGGAAAAAGGCAAAGAAAAAGCCGAGTGGCTGGGGTGAAGCAGCAAGGCAGGAGGTCAGATGCTGGGCAGTGGAGTGTGCTCTTACGTTTTCTTTTAATGCCAGTTCCTTTTTCTCTCTTTCTTTTGGTTGAAGGAAAGTGCTTCTGAATTAGTGATAGAAAGACGCCTCTGAAAGTAAGATGCAAAATTTATTCTAGCTACCAGGAACATCTGCCGGTTATCACGTAGCAATGTCTGTTTGAGATAGTACCACGTTTCATGGGAGAGGGGTAAATCCTGTACCACGACTCCCAGCACGTGATGGGCCAGACACTGGTACGGCGCGGCCCTGCTGAGCTCAGACCCAGCGTGGATCACCCAGGGGTTCTGCCAGGGGAGCGTGGGCAGCACCAGCAGATCCTCGGCCAAGAAAAGGCCGTGCTGAGGGAAGGGAAAGCACCAAAATGCCAGGAAAAACACTCTGTGGTGGGGGGAGTGGGGCCCTTCCGGAGACACTGCAGCAAAAGCAGAGCAGACCCCGGGCTCTGCACTACTGCGTGGCACGGCAAAGCTGCAAGACCTTTATTTCCCAACTAAGAGGGAGTTTTAAGTGGGAAAAGCTGTACTGGGAAAGCTGTTACATCACTACTGAAAAATCCAGGGAGTCCCAGTGTCCCAGCCCCTCTCTGTGCCCCGACAGCACAGACCGCCGTCGGGCCGTCCAACAGACCTGCTCCAAATCCTCCGATGCGCTGCCCGTGGGGCCCTTTGGCCACAGAACGGAGAAAAGGGAGGGGACACAGAGATGTAGTGGTTTCAGGTGAATGGCAAAAAAATCACGAGAGGTGGAAAACAAATGTTTCTGTGGGCTGTTCCGCAAATAAAAGAGCAAATGCTGAAATGGTGATGGTGTTGGGTGGGGATGAGCCCCCAGCGCAATGAGAAGGCAGCGCTGAATGAGCTCTGGTTGAAAAAAACCAACGTTGGAAGTGAGAGCTGGGAGGTGTGGACATGACAGCTCGCCCGGGTGAGTAAAAGGGAGTTTTGGGGACCGGGGAGGGAGCTGCAAGAGCCTGGGTGTGAGGGGCTGCAGGAGACAGAGCCAGCACCGCAGTGTCCTGCGCTGGCCGTTCAGTGACTGCAATTATCCAGGACCACAACGAGCCCCTGTGTCCCCTCTCTCTCATTTTCCCCACACTCAGCTCCACCTCTTCCCTTCGAACAAAGGGCTGGGCTGGAATTCACTCACTGAGCAATCTGTTTATTTTTAACCCCGTTTCTCGGCATCTTTTAAACAACTGCTTCTTCCCAGCACACTGCCCTCAAGAAATCCCCCAAAGTGCTGTAAAACCAGGACGCCGCATTTGGAGGCTCAGCAGATGCCAGAAGACACTCGTTATCTGGCCAATGCTGCTGAGCAAAGAGCTCTGGCCCCTAGAATCGAGGACAGAGTTGAGCAGCATGTGATCTCTAACAGACCCTTCCTCCTCCCACAGCTGAGCGAGGCTCAGAGGGACCACAGAGTCCTCCAGCCCGAGTTCCTCTGAATTCTGTGACATGAAAACCAGTCCAAGAGACCAAATCAATCCAAGCAGTTGTTAGACTTGCCTTGTTCTCTGCCACCAAATCAGTATTTGTGTTTTGGGAACAGCAGAGTGACACCGACCAACACAACCCCCAGCAATAGAGTCTGCCCTAACCCGCACACGTACTGTCTCTGGGGTCTCTCCTATATCTGACAATTCTTTTCCAAGTGTAGAGAGTTGGATCAGGCTGCTCATGCAGGTTTGAGCCACAGGAAACTTCAAAACCCAGGACCTAGCTCCTAACGTCACGCTGAAGAAATAGTGCCTCAAGGACCCAGCTCCGCGTCCTCTCCACTCACAGCCTGCGTCGGGCGAGGCCTCACCAAACTGCATTTCAGGAACTCAAGTGGCCCCAGGGCAGGGCTCTCCTGGCACATCTCCAGCCCCCCCGCTGCATCCCTCCCCCAAGGAAAACAGGGGTTTTGAACTCACTCTGCAGCAGAGACAAAGCAGTTGAGATGCCCATCGTTCTCATCCAGGACCTCTCTGGTGCGCGCCTCCCCGGTGGACTGCAGCCCGATGACGATGCACTGCGGGGAACAGGAGGGAGGGCAGAGCAGGCGTCAGGGCACGCGGCGACTGGCTCCGGAGACTCTATTTCCCCACCCCAGGTACCTTCCCCTCAGCCCCTGTCCCAACCCGTGTTGGGCTGTAGGAGAGCTCCTGATCAAGAACCATCTCAAGTCTTTCAGCATCCCAAGCGGTACCTCTGCTCACACCACAGAGATGACTGAGATTACAGAACCTGATTGACTTCCCTAAGCAGTTCCTGCCTAAAACTTCCAAATTGCATCCGGATGGATGGAAGGACTGTGCTCAAGGTGAAGGATCTGACACCTCTTTTAGCTTGAACATGACCCAAAATACCCTCTCAGATCAGCTTGCCCACATCTACCATAGACAAACAGCGGGGGATGCCTCGGAAGACGAGACTGTGTTAACCCCCCAGTATCATTTGCTGTGAATATTCCCAGAAACCCGGACTCTGCACTTTGTTCTGGTTAATCTGGAGAGAAACTCAGCCTTACAGAGGTTTGGATTTGCTTTCAGGTCAAGCTGACCAACAATTAACTCCCTTTGGTTGCAGATGACAAAATGTTCACTTGCAAGGGGAGGCCGGTGGCCGCCGCCAGCGCGGAGAGGCTCCAGTACCGCACCTTGTCCTTGGCCAGCTCCTCCTTGGCCAGCTCCACCAGCCGCCGGACCTTGGCCGCGATGCAGAGGTACTTGAAGAAGCGCTGGTGAGCAGACCAGAACTGACCCCACAGGGACTTCCGAGACTCCAAGCCGATCCAGTCGGCCGCCTGCTGGAACACCATCAAGGCCTCTGCCCACTGCAGACAACACCGAGAAGGGCTGAGTTAATACCTTCATTTTCTTTTTCATTACTGCTGTGCAGGAGGTTATTAGAACAGTCTGGGCTCGGATAATCTGATTTAACGTGGGTATTTATGGCTCTGTGTTGGGCTGAACGAACAGTCTGGTCGTTCTCTCCGCATCAGCATGACACTGCAAGATCTGGTTTGCAAATATGGAACTTCTGAATAGAAGCCAAAAAAATGTAAGATAATTTTTAATGTAAGCTGAGCGTGGGTACCCCTTTTCCTTCTCACAAACAAGGTCTGTGGCCTTGTTTCGGGTCCCCAAACCCTCCCATGTAACAAGCCCAGAGGGCAGTTGAGGCCCCGTCCCCCCCGACAGAGGGACCAGCTCACCAGCTTCGCCGCCTTGTCGTAGACAACCTTGTACTGCTGGTCCAGCGGGATCTCTTCGATCCTGAAGGTCACTCCAGTGAAACTGAGCTGCCGGGCGATGTACATCCCACTGACCTTCATGTCCATTGCCACGATCTCCATTGCACCCACTCCCCTGGGAGAGGAAGACAACTGTGAACCCCCTTCCTCTGCTCCACGGCAGCACCCAGAGCACCCATGTCCCAAGCAAAGGCTGCCACGAAATGGAAACCGTGTGAAAGGGGGTGTTGGACACGACTTACCTCTTCTCAATTGCATGCAGGAACTCATCAAACGCTCTGAAAGGGGTGCCCGGCCCCCAAATCCCCAGGCGGCTCATGTAAATCATGTTTTTTGGCTCAGAGGCACCTGTTTGAACAGAATTTGCAGTTTTGACTCAAGTAAAGTGAATTCTTAAGAGGGTGGTAATTTGCCCTTGTGCATTCCCAAGGGCCTTTCCAAACACTGCCCTCCATATATGAGGTGGGCAAGTGTCATCATCCAGCTTCGTACAGCTGAACAGCTGGCCAGGAGTATGTGGAACTGGAGAGGAATTAGTCTACTTTGCCAAAAAGTGACAGTAATGGCAGTGCTGGGGCTTGGGGCAGGTCTTGGTGCTCTGGGCTCTAGCACCACAGTGCCATTCACCTCCTGCACGAACACACTCTCAGTGGTCGTGCTCACATCTCGTCCTTCAGGCCCCAGAGGTGATGGCACCCCCACGACAGGAGCTCACCTGTGGCACTGGCATAAACAACCCTGGCTTGAGGCAGTTTGTTCTGAAGGTCCAACACTGCTTTGCCCATTTTAGTAGAGCTGGCGTTTTTGGCTTTGTGGCATTCATCAAACACAATCTGGAGGGGAATGTCAGTTAAGGAGAAAGGATCTGATTTTCATCACCAGGGTGGGAACAGACAGAAAACACAACCCAGTCTCTTCCAACCAACTCAACAACCAGTCCCAGCATCAGCAGGACTGACACACTCCCCACACGGTATGAAATCTGCTGGTTTCATCTAGTCAGAGCCCCAGGTCATGTCCCCGTCCCTCTCCCTTCTCTTCCAAGGTGTGTCTTGTGCTGCTGAGGGAGAACAATGCTGAAAAGGCTGATCCCAGCTGCGTTCTCCCCGTCCTCCCACGGACTCTGTGGAGGAGGAGAGTGCAGGGAACGATGTGCTACGGCATCTAAACACCCACCGCAGGCACAGGGCTGCGCGGCACAGCTGCTCCCACTGACTTCAGGTGGCCCCGAGCTCTTTGCTCCTTCGTGAAGTCAGTCATAAACATGCAATTCTTCTCACTCTCTCCATTATTTTTTTTAAAAGGATACAACTCCATCAAAATTTTCCCTGCACCACTCCAAAATCTGTTTTAAGCGTGTCCTGTGCTGCCCGCCGGCCTGGCTTTCACCGATCAGCGCAGAGTAAGTGGCGAAGAGAACTCCTTCTGAGGTAGCTGTGTCACCGTATTTAATCTGCAGAGGGGCAGAACAAGAGCACAGGTGCTCACCCAAAGCACAGGTGCTCACCCAAACCACTCTATGCTGATTTTAGGATTCTCCCGGTGCTGATCCCCAGCACATCGCGCCTGTTCTTTGCCCACGATCAACACCAACGGTTGCGCTGTGACCGTGTGGGACACGTGCTGCTGCCCCCAGGAACACAGCCCCATCTGAGAGCAAAAGGGACAAAAGACCGTTGGGAGCTGACGTCGTCAGCAGCTCTGTCTGGCACCAAGACACGGCGATGACAGGGCTTTCAATGTCCAGACAAGCTCCACTTGCCGCTGTGTCAGCACATCTGGACGCAGTGAAACGTGGGGACCCCGCGAGGACTCCAGTTTGCTGGCCAGCAGAAGTTGCTTCATTTTCTTAAGCAACAGTTTAGAATCTTTAATTGTTTTGAACTCTCCCAATCCGTTTTAATTACTTCTAGAAAACACTTCTCTCTCTGAGCAGGTGAGATTGTTGCCTGTCTTACTGTCACGTGTCCCACCTGTAGCCAAGTAAAAGGTGGTGGGAAAGCCCACGGTGCAAACCTGAAGAAAGTTCCATTTAAAGCCTTTTTGGTCTGAAAACAAACATCCCTTTCAGTCTCTTAATAGCTGCATTCAGAGGTGTCAGCACACCTGGTTTCCAGTGACTTCGTAAGAGCTGGGTGTTCAACACCACCGGAAACCAGAGCAGGGTGTTTCAGGGAACTGGGCAGTGCAGTGGGAAACACAAGCCTGGACAAGAGACCAAAGCACAGGCCATGAAGGACTCTGTGAGCAGCCACTACACAATGGCCCCTCGTGTCTTTTGAGAAACACTTCATCTTCATCTCTGAATAACTGCAAGAAAGTCCGAATATTCTCTGATTTGCTCGGCAGGGGGAACACCCACGTGCTCAGCCACGGGGCCGTGTCTGAGTCCCTGCCAAGGCACCAATCTGTGCCTTCAGAGGTGCTTCCCCACTCGCACCCTCTGGAAAGTGGCTCCATGGAACCAGCACTGGGAAATGTTATCCCAGGAGAGCGGAGCACGGCCCTGCACTGGGGCTGATCCCTCTGCAGGACTCTCCAGGAATGGCCAGAAAGGCTCAAGTCCGGCTGAACTTTGCTCTTGGCTGGAGAGATTTCTCTCTCCCTGCAGGAAACAGCTCCGTGCAGCTCTGCAGGGTGCACAAAAATAGTGAGAGGCCAGAGTGGGAAGAGCTCGCCGGGAGAGAGGGAAGCGCTCGCTGCCTGCTGCCTGCTCTGCCGGTGCCACCGCCGCGCGGAGGCAGGAGCAGCCGCTGCCTTACACACTGAGGCGGATCCCTGCAACTGCTGCCGTGGGCTGGTTTTCCAGAACACCATTACAGCTTCTCTCCCTACCTTATTCAAAGCATGCACAGGAATGTGGGAGGCTTCAATGTCCTTCAGGTCTCTCTCAGCATCATACTTGAGATCATTGGAGACGCTGAACCTGCAAAGCGAGACGTGGGTCTGGTTATCTCCGCAGGAGAGTCAGGGCACACAGGGTGATTAATAGCTCTGACTAACGCAGCCGTGGGTGTGCAAAACTGTCACATTCCCCACTGCCCACACTCCTCAGCACACCATCCCCCTGCAGACTCCAGTCTGCCGCTTCGGACAAGCCCTGTGTGCTCTGCAGTAAAACCCCATGCTCCAGGAGCTTCTGCTTTCGCCCGAGGAAGCCCCCAAGTGCCCCTCCACGGACTTCAAAGGCAGCAGAGACAGGCTCCACATTGCCCTCGAGTAGCACATAATCTGCTATTTCACTGTGACTCACTGCCCATCTCGGCTGCAGGGGAAATATTCCCATTTCACAGGCACAAAGAGGTGGAAACGACTTACCCAAGGCCACAGCATGAGTCAACCATAAAGCCAACATCAGCACTAAGGAATTCCTTACTCCCAGATCCAAACTAACTCCAAGGTCTTACGGGAAAAGAGAAAAAAAAAAAACACAACAGCTTACCACAGAGCTTTTTTCCTCCCTTTCAGATAGTTTTCAAAGATGATGCCCGCAACTGTCCTGCCCTTTCCAACTCCAGCGCCGTCCCCGATGAGGAACCCAGCTCGCTGCCCGTTGGGTAATAAAACTTCATGTTGCTGCAAAATCAAGGACAGAACTGGAAATTAAACAAGATTTGCCTTCGCTAACAGCTCTGATGTGCGTTTGTGAGAGCACCCCTTAACCCTTTCACACACCCCATCCTTGCCTGTGAATCTCCTGCTCTCAAGTGGCAGTTCATGGAAAAGGTCCCCAGGCCCCCAGAACGTGAAGCGCTCCCTTCTGCAGCCAAAGTCAAGGGTTTTGCCTCTTTGGGAAACAAGCCCCACAGAAGTCCCCGGCTCCACATAATTCTTTCAAAAGGCATTTAAAATGCCATATGGCAAAGCTGCCAAAGTGTCATCACCTCTGTCACAGGTTATTTTAGAACACAGGGGAACATCTGTCGGTACAAAAGGCAATTTCTCTCCCACATACAGCCCAGGAGCAGGGCTCAGCAGCAGCGTGTACCTGGCAGGCGTAAATGATTGCTTCCAGCTGTAGTGCAGAGAGGGAGCCTTTGTCGGCCACGGAGCGCGGCAGCGAGAGGCTGTAGGTGATGTCGGGTGGGGGGACGCTGGACAGGGTGCTCGTCTCAACCACCAGGTCCGGGTGGTGCTTCCCAATCTTGGCTAAACGATAACAATAACACAGATAACTCATGTTAACAATCTGTCACCCTCAGCTCAGGGACAGAGATCAGCCCGACGCCTGCTCTTCACTCTTCTGCTCCACTGAAACATCAGATGGCCAAACCCCAGTCATGCCTCCCCCAAAAGCAACAACAGAAAAGTGTGGTGTTAAATTAGCACAGCCCCAGCGAAGCACCAGTCCCCTGGTACAGCTTTTCGAGAAAATCCCAAGCTTGGGATGTGCCACAGAAGCACCAATACTGCTGCAGTTAATTAGGTTGGCCCACAATGGAGCTAACAGAATCCCCCACGCTCCTGCAACGACAGACACTCACACTTTGAAGGGACATATTCTGCATAGGTCTCCGTTTGCCCCAACTCTTCTGTTTCTTCCTCCTCACCTTCATCCTCCTCCTCTGCAGGAGCCTGAGACTGAACAGAAACACAGCATTGACCAAATGTTGATGTTCTGACTGAAGTACGGACACAGGCAGTGCCGCACAGCGCAAGAAAACACCCTTTAACCCAGCTCCGTGCAAATTAACATACAATTAGTCTGATTTACAGACTTCAGCAACCCAAGGAAAACCATCTGCGAGCGCCCACCCCGGGGGCCCAGCGAGTGCTTGATGAGCTGCTTTCAGCACCCAGTCCTCGCCGAATTAGGGAAAGATGTCTGGGTGGCTCCTCAGACGGGCTGTGGGCTAGTGTGAATCCTGCCCAGCTGTGCTCCACTCTGGCCCCAAGCAAGGGACACGGTCCAGCTTTGAACTCCACACGTACCCAGTCAGGGAAGCCCAAATCACTCTTTAACACAGCGAGGTTCCACCGAGGGGAATACAAGACCCTTCTGGGAAAGGGCAGTGACTGGTTTCTGTCCAATTTCCTCGTCCGGCTCCCTCTGAAGGGAGAACACCCAGAACTGCTCCCCTCCACCCCACGGCATTCCCGAGCCAGGAGCCTGGAGTCCCATCCCTGAGGCCGCCCATGGCTCTCACCTGGAAACTCGTGAGGAGGGGGGTGTTGGGGACAGCAGGGACGAGGTCACTCGAACTGTTTAAGCCGGAGAACGATCTGCTGGGCGAGAAGAGCTGGAAGAGAAAGGGTGCGGGTGAGAAAGCAGCCCTCACCCTCCACCCCCAACACCACAAACACACAGCAGTAAAGGCTCTTGTGCACCACACTCAGATCTTACACCGATGGTGTCGGTGGACTTTAATACTCTCTGTTCTGGGAAAGAAAAGCCCTGGGCAAGTTCTGGAAAGTAATAAATCTTGCAAATGCCGTATATGCCTTTTGTGACACACACACAGGGAATAACTGACCAAGATAAACACGTTCTCACAAGAAGTGTGAAGGTGTCGTGCAGGTGCCCACATGTGATGGCAGCCTGTGGGGACACACAGCCTCCCCACCCACAGAATGGGAGCCTTTCTGCCAAACCACACCACCATGAGATGGGTCACCCCAAAATGGCATGTTTTGCCATTAAACACAAGATCTCAGGCATAAGCCCGCCTTTCACACAGCTCCCGTGGGCACGGACCATTCCCTGGGCAAACACTGCCCCTACCAAAGGACCCCCAGGAGCCAGCAGCCCCTGTCAGACCTGGTGGGAGGTTATTCTGGGAACACCTTGCACCGCAGCCAGCAAGGATGGCTCCTGAGACACTGCCAGCTGGGAGGGCACAGCCCAGGAGAGCCTTTTCTGCCCCCACTCAAACAAAATGGCACTGGAATTTCCTGACAGCGAGTAAGGTGAAGCCAGCAGCTCGTGGCACCCACAGCGAGCAGCACCACTGCACCATCACAGAGCTACAGAGCCACGCTCCACCAGCGGGACTGAGGGACGGGAAGGTCTTAAGCACAAGCACTCTGATTATTTCCTTTTTTTTTAAAATTTAAAAAAAAAGAAGAAAGAAAAAAACACCCTTCATTACTGGAAGCCTGAGTCAGAATTACCAGAAGGAAGCTGGACGGAAGAGCTATTTTCAGTGCCAACAAATCTGGAGAGCAGGTGAAACATCTCCACCTACAAATCTGAGCTCAGCGTAAGGATTTCTGCTTGGGCAAGAGAGGGGCCCAGATGTGCAGGGATGGCAGGGCCGGCTCCTCTCAGTCCCAGCAGAGGAAAGTTCCTGCAGGGCTGGGTTTGCATCACGCAATCTTCAAAGCACAAATCCCCGCTCTCCCAACTCAGCACCGGGCTCTGGCACACGGCATTTCACCTCGGGCATCGCAGGGAAGTGGCAGAAGCTTTGGGTGGTTGGAGCATTGAGGAAGCAGAGCATTGAGGAACTAACCCGTAGGTGAGAACGTGCTGCGAGGGCCCGTCCAGCAGCTACAGCAGGTGACAGATCTCCTTACCCCAGTCTGAGCTTGGGGAATTCCTTCCTTCCTCTACTCTCGCTCACCTCCCAGTTCCATCTTCCTCTTCCTCTATGCTACTACGTCTAAAACCCTTACCAGAGGAGGCGCGCACAGCACACAAGAGAACAGTGGGATGTAAGCAGTAAAGCCGCTGACAACTGCACAATCAATGACTCGCTCTCGCTCCCTTTTTTTCCCTCTTTGCATTATTCTCCATTTTGCCCCATCTTGCCGTGACTTCCACGGGAAAAGGAACAGTCCCACCCGGCTACCGAGCCACCTCCCCTCTGCAGAAACTCGCTCCCTGGGGGTTGAGCGAGGAGAAGGGTGTTCACATCCTCAGAGTGCTGTGAATGTGTTAGAAAAAGCTCCATCAGCAGCTCACAAAAATTCTAGCTACAGGCTGCAGAGGCAGGGCTTTGCTTCCCCAGTCTTAGAGCCACTGTCAACTGGTGAGAGGGTTGTGAGAAAACACAATAGATTACATGCACTATTTTTAAAAGGTATTTCACAACTTCATTGCAAATGAAGCAAGTGTGTTTTCCTGCTAATCCGGCAAATATTGAACACTGGAGCCATCGCTCTTCCCGTCGTGCCCGTCCCTGAGCCGATGAACAGCCGCGTGTACGTGTCTGTGATCTCCACAGACAGCAGCTCTCCTTGCACAGCCCACACAGAGCTTCCTCCTCCCTCCCAAACCGCCCCTAAAGCTCCAGCCCGGGCTCTGGAGAAGGGTTTCTCAGGGAGTTTGAGCCGCTCAGGGCTGTGCACTCCCACTGCGACGCCTCTCTCCGGTTGTGCTGTGCTCCCCTCTCTGCAAACCCATCTCCCCAGCACTAGTGATGGCTGATAGACAGGGGGGAGAAAGCCAAAATACAGAGAGAGTTCTTATCCACGACGTATCTTCAAACTGCTACACGAACAGAAGACAGTCCATTATTTTGTATATTTTTAAAGAGGACGAGGCGGGAAGCCGTTCTGTACCTGGGCTCCACGTGTGGGTCCCACAGACAGGACACATCCAGCGTCACTCCCGAGAGGTCCCACACACCAGAGCCAGGTACAGAGATCACTGATTCTGCTGCACCTCAACCTCAGAGCCTGAAATCCTGGAAAAACTCCTGTCCTGACACCCCAGTGCCAGGGCACCCGCTGGGTACGGCTGGTGGTACAGTACAGAGGGGGCTGCTCTGCCTGGGGAACACACTGGGGAACCCGACCCACCAGCAGCGTCGGGACTGAAGCTTAGTGTTTCTAAGCTCTGGCTGCTCAAAAGCCAGAATTCCTGCAATTTTATGGGAAATTATGGTGGTGTGATGATGTAGGGAGGGAGAGGGAAAGATTCTCTAAATTGCTTGTCTATTGGCACAGAATATCAGCGAAGTCTCCGTCCTGTCCCGAGTGTTACAGTGTGGAACCTTTTCCTTGGCACTGCCTGGAGGCTTCGCAAAGGATCCCTCGTTTGCCTCCTTTAACAACAGAAAAAGCATATTTGAGATTCAGGTAATAAACCAGTTGCCAATCATGAATCAACCCGACAATCCATTTACCATGTCCTGGGAGTCACCAAAACGAAACTGAAATCTCCTGCCAAGGATGTACTTAACTGACACCTCCTCAGGAAACATCAAACCCAGTCAAGAAACAGAAAAACAACCAAGAAACCCCACCCCCAACCACCTCTGTACTCAGAAGGCACAGATAAGATAACGTTTAAAATAGCTAGAGATTCTTTTCAAAAGGAAGTCGTTTATAAATGGAATTCCGAGGAGTTAATTGGCCTTATCTGAACCCCGTGCCCCGCAGGACAGCCCGAGGGGGGGATGGAGGGGGGAACGTGAAGAGCAGCACGGAGAGACCAGAGACGCTGCTCCGCCACGCTCAGACCAGTTGGTTCACACTTCAACCACACAGATTTGTTTCTCACTTGCATTCTTTATGCTGGGATTGGAGCAGCTTTTCCCAGTGAGTGTTTTGCTGTGCACTCCTCAGACACAAAGCCACAAGGGTTTTTAGGCAGTGAGTATCTCGACCAGAGTTCACATGCTCAGAAATGGGACACCACGGAGCTATCCCTACAGTGATTTAGGCTACGACATAAAAAATGTCATAATAGGAGACTAGAGCAATAAGGTCCATGCCTTCTGTCCTGGGGGACGTACCTGCTTTCCAGTATTTTTAATCACCCAGTTCACAAGCCTGCGATTCCTCAGCCATTCCTTGGTTCCAAGAGTTCAGTGCTCTTCCTGCCAACCCTCCCAGACCTCGAGTTTGAGCTTGGCCACAGTTTGGGCTGCGTGGGGACAGTCTGCGCTCCCTTGATCCACAGGACGTTCCCCCGGGAAGGGGGGCAGTGGTGTCCTCTGCCTCCAGCCACAGACCTGCTGGGGACCACGCAGGCACTCCAGAGGTCTATCATGGTGTCCTCTGCCTCCAGCCACAGACCTGCAGGGGACCACGCAGGCACTCCAGGTCTATAGGTGATCAAATCTCACCAGTGTCAGCAAGAGCTCAGGTGCCTGATTTGGGGATCTCTGTGACAGGTCTAGGACTTCACGGACAGTCTAAGCAGAGAGGAGCTCCGATTGTCCAGGTCCCAGGCCAGGCCCATGGCCACCAAGTCCTTCAACCCCCAACCTGTCCCTGGGCCACACAGCGGCATCAAAGCAGAACTGCTGCTGCCAAGACTTACTCCCAAGCTGTGACCAACAGCCAGCATTCACCATGGAAATACAGTCAGACACACTACCAACTGCAAATCACAGCCTCTAAAAACAAGACAGAACCTCAAAATACAACGGTGACTAAAGCCCCGTCTGCCAGACTGTGTCCTGGGGCACCACCTTGTGCTCTTCCCCACAATCTTCACGAGAGAACGACCTACAAGGGAAGGTACTGCACGGTGGGGCACTCACTGGGAGCTGCCACCCAGAGATGGGGCAGAGGGATGTGTGATGGTGGTTCCACCAAGAGCCAGAGCCGCGAGCACCGCAGTGACTGAGCCCAGGCTGGGCAACAGTGAGTCCTGGGGCCCAGCAGCCGAGGGAAAACAGATGGCAAAGGCTGGTAAAAAGGCAGAGAACCACAGGCTGCTGCGGCACCGCCGGGAGATCCCACGCCCAGGAAAACCAGGGGATGTAAAAGCCTGCAGGGACTCGGACTCACAAAGTAAACACAAACGGTTAGTCTTAAATTGAGACAGAGTTTGTTTTTTAGTCATTGTTACTAAAATATTTGCTGTGGAGAATAAACAAACAGGGGCTGCTGTTGCTGGGGCAGTTAATGATCTACATCACGGTGTTTCTCCTCGGGTCTGTCTCTTCAGCACTCCCGAGCACAGGCCACTCTGGACCTGTGGAACAGCTTAGGGACACGTCTTCCCAGCGAGGCACCTCCCTGCCGCAGCTCTCAGAAGAGCCAGTGCCTGCAGCACCCTCTGAAGGGGGGCATGAACCCCACTGAGAAAAGCCAGGTTCTCTCCTGCTTCCAGGAGACTAAAATGTGTGTCACCACTTCCCCCTTTCCCTCTTTGAGTGAAGTTGGAAATAGCAAACCAACATTATCAAACTGCAACCTCCCCCCTGCAGGGAATCAGGTTGGATTCTTCACTCCTTGGTGAAAACACCACGGGATGAAGGCTGAGGTATCTCCTGGCTGATGGGGAGGATGGAGGAGGAGCAGCCCCTACCTCGATCTGGTTCTGCTGCGGCGTGTTTATATCCCATAGTGTTGGCACGTGGTTCAGACTGTCGTTGGACAAGAAGTTCTTGGGATCTGCGATGTCAGAGAGGGAATCGGCGGGGGACGAGAAGAGGGAGTTGTTGTTGGAGAGCTCATCGAGGTATGAAGAATCCTGAAACAGAGAAATGACCACGGTTAGAGAGGGTGGGATGAGAAGAGCAGGGAGCTCTCTTCTCACACCTACTCCTCCAGGAAGCTTTAATTTCTTGCTATTGAATGAGCAGCTCTGTTCCTTCATGCTCCACAAAACTTCAAAATTAACTTGTAAATGAGGACATGCTCTAAGCAGCTGTTTTAAAAATCTCAGTTTCTTGAAAACAAAGGAAAAACAGTGACCGGGCAGAAGTGCCAGTTCTTGCTTCAGACCATCTCCAACTGTCACCTCACCAGTCACCTCAACTTCCTATTTGACTGAAAAGACTGCTGAGGGGTTGAAAAGTCCTCAGCCTGGAGTACCTCCCCGTGCCCAGAAGCCCACAGAGCACCAGCTACACCTGAGAATGACACAGCTGCTTAATTGCAATTTATAGCACAGCGATACCTGGAGGCTTTGGAAAAACTTTGTCTCCCCGTGCCAGGTTCTGCACGGAGGAGGCTGCCGGGAGCAGGGGGAAGGAGCAGCACTGCCATCTGGGTTTGCTTCTAGCTAAATCTCAGCAAATCTACCAATCCTCTTCCCAAGGACACGCCTTGGGCCAAGCAAGAAAGGAATGTGTTTCAGTGCTGAGGATTGGGCTCTGCCCTTGCTCTTTTTCTGGTGCCGGCAGTGACACAGCTCACAATTGTTTTATTGTGTGCCAACCCAGAGATGATGGTGGTTTGAGTCACACGGACTCTGGCTCAGGAAGACCCTTCAGTCCCCTCCCTACCTTCCATCTGGGTTTTCAGACTTCAGGTGGCAAGAACTGACAGCCAAAAAACCCCTCTGACCATACAGCCTTAGCTCTGGTGACTGACTCTGGCCCCGCACCGCAGCTCTCCTTCCACACCAAACCCTGCTCCCAAACCCCTTCACAGCAGAAGAGCTTTGTCTGCTGTTTGTTGAAGAGTGACATCCAAACGCCGACTCTGGTGTACAGGTCCTGCCAGAGACGTGCCTCTGTCCCAGGGGGATGGACAGACAGACCAATGGGTCTGTCCTGGTGCCAACAGCCCAGTTTTGTGGCTCTCGGTCAGGGCCGGGCTGGCAGCACACGGTGGCCCCAGTTCTCCACCAGCCCAGATACCCACACGAGTGCCCCGACACCGCAGCGCGGCTGCCAGGAGAGCCACAGAGTCTGATACGAGCAGGAGTCGCTGCTCATTTCCAGTTAAGGGCCAATTTCCTACTACAAGGCAGAAAAGCAGCCAAAGATTTTTAAAAGTCACTTAGTCCTGCCTGACAGAAAAGCACGCAGAGCTGAGCCTGCCGGCGCGCTCCTAAGGGCTTCGGGCCAAGAGCAGGGCCAGGCTCCTCCCGGGTCACTACCAAAGTTAAGGGTTTGCAGTGTTTAGAACCATCAGGACACATTTCCTTGTCCTCTGACCCAGACAGGTCTCATCTGGTGACTGAGGGGACAGTCCCTGCTCTGAGGGCTCAGGTGCAACATGTAAAGTTTGTATTTGTCAAATACTGCCTGGGGGGACCCAGGGGCCGAAGGAGAAAGGGCTGTTTCACTGGGCTACGCTGGCAGGACACCCTCCTGCTGGCTCTGGGCATGGTACTGCTGTGACACCACTGCTGGTGTGACACTGCCACTAGTGTGACACCGCCGATGTGACACTGCCGCCGGTGTCTGCCCAGCAGCAGATGGGCAGCGCTTCCTGTGCAGCTCTCACTCTTGATATTTCTGGGGCTATTTCTGGATTACCCAGAAACCAAGGCTTTTCAGAGACTGAAGCAGGCACTGAGATTTATCATCTCGGAATTAAGTGATCTGAGAGTTTCACATTCAAGAAAGAAGGAAAAGACGTGGGTAAATGTGGTGTTTCTTGGCCAGAGAAGTGCCCCGTGCATCCTTCAGGAACGCTCCTGTCTGTCTCCACAGCCCGAGCTCCTGCTGCAGAGCACACCACGGCAGCGTGTGTGGGACTCCAGCTAACCTTGTGTGTGCTATTCAGAGATTCTTCCCATTAACTCTCATCTCCCAAGGTCTGTAGCCCCTCTCAACCTTCCAGCCCCCTGCAGAGACTGGAACAAGCCACCACCTCCCTCGCTGCCCTCCCCACCCTCCTGCTTCTGCCTCTGCTCCCGAGATCCCAAGCACAAGGGTTGCAGGACTCTGGAAAGCCAGTACACCTCTTCAGATCCAACCGGGATGGAGAGGTGACGGACAGGCAGATGGTCCTTCAGGTCCTTCACCCATCTGCTCTGGTACCTGATACACCTGGGTCCTTCACCCTGACACACCAGACTAATGCGGCAGCCAGACCCAAAGCGGCTGGAAACTCCACTTGTGGTGTCTGACGGCCCAGATACTGCACTGAGGATAAATACAGGCTGATATCAAGAGGCTCATCAGAATTGCTTTGAAGTTACTTTCAAAGCCCAGCACTAGAAGCAACAGCTCTTATCTTCTTTGAGTTCCCACCACAACTCAGTGACACAAACAGCTCCCGAGACGGATCTGAAACCCGGTCCCCAGACCCCGACGTGCTGCTTTTCACAGGTGCCTGGGGAGATCCCAAAGACAAACCTGAAACCAGCCCAGCCGGGGCCTGCCCCCCTCGCACGGGTCACCCGAGGTTCTGCAGCGGGAGGAGGAGCAGGGGCTGGTCCCCAACAAGCCCTCAGAGCTCAGCTCACGTGAGGAACTGAGGTGCAAGAACTAGTTTCTATTCATAACAGGCAACAGGAGACATCATCATCCTTGATATGAAATCTAGAAGATGAAAGACATTCAGTACAATCTGCACGGGGAGAGGAGAAGCGTGTTTTTCCTCTCTCAAGGGCAGGGAGGCCTGGGAGACACCGTGCTACAGACAGGACAGAGCTACACCAAAAGGCTGGAGCTGCAAGGAGAGCTCAGCTTTGTGTAGCCAGGGGTTTTCTGTGTTTTTTTTTTCTTTTCATTATGAAAACCTTTGTCACAAAGACCCATTTTGGCACTTAACTGACAGTGTCTCACTTGGGGGCTTCACGCCCAGGGAGGGCGGCAGCATCTCAGGGAGCTGGGAGGTCTCAGTCTCATCGCTGCGCTACGGGACACACTTCTGCGCAGTTTTATTCACTCCCAAATAGCAGGGACAGAGGTCGGCTCAGGAGGAAGCATCTGCAGACAGTGGGCACGGCAGTGAGGAGGCCATGGAGCAGCCTGGAGAGGGACACGAGGGTCCCGAAGAGAGGACAGTGCCAAACTGGGACAGCAACAGGACATGAGAAAGGACTGGACACACACTGGGAGCACCCTCCGCCTTCCCGAGCCCCACAGTCTCCCCAGGACAGTTCCAGCCCCACCACTGAAACGGGGAAGAGGAGATGAGCCTCCAGGGCAGAGGGAGGACAATCTCAGTCCTGGAAATGACTGAGCCCATGAGTGAGCCCATCCTCCTGCAGCACCACCAGGCATTAGTCACAAACTTCAGCCTCCCGTTTGTCTTCTCTAATTACATTATCAAGGAGCAGTAAAACTAGGAACCTGCCAGATCCCCGCCCTGAAGAGCTCACACTGCAACCCTGGTAAATTGGACTTGCTTATATACAAAATGCAGCGTAATTGTTTAATAGAAGACCAAACCGATAACTACAGCCTGTGTCATTATAAACCTTGACTAATTGCTCCACTGGTTTATATGGAGCACCAGGAGCTGCTGCCTCAGTCTCCTCCAGGGAAAGGAAGGATCATCACCTGAATCATCAGCTCATGGAACAACAGAGGGAGCAAAAGGACTCCTCTCCTCAAGGGGGTAAAGTCCCTGGCAGACCCACTGACGCTCTGACACCGGTTACAGCCGATCCCAGCCAGAAGGAACCCTCAGCCAAACGGTGCCGACCCCGAGGCAGAGCCAGAAGCAGCTGAGAACGAGGTGACAGTGTCAGGGGTAGGAGGAATGGCCCAAGAGACCACAAAGGTTCCAGCGAGCAGGTGCTGGGAATGGGGACGGGGGACGGCAGAGCCAGCTCCTGCCTCTCCAACGGCCCAATGTGCTTGAGAAGCTGTTGGGTGAAATAACCTCAACAGCCCAGAGCAGGAGCTGGAAGGTCATGGACCACTGCCTGCTCTCCACAGCAGAAGATGCTCCAGTGAGTGAGCTGATATAAATCGATGGCAATCGCTTGCCGGGTCTCTAAACCGTGAGCGCCCATGAACCGCGGGCTGATGCTGCTGTGGCACACTGCTCCTGTCATTAGCCCAAAGCAGAAAAGTTATCAAACCCAAGAATTAGCTCCCTAGAAAAGATAAGAAAAAAATCAGGATAAAACCACCCAAACACTTAGCCTTTCTCCCACCACTGGAACCAGCGGTTCCTTTAGTCAAAACAAAGTCTTTGTTAAAAATAATGAAGGAACAGGTGAAGTCTAAATACAGGAGGAGAATGCATCCCAAGAATATTTTGGCCATCGAGCCATCAATATAAATGGCTTATTTGCTCACAATCCAGACACAGAGGAAACAAATACTCCTTCTGCACAAGTACCCACTACTCCACAAACAGCACAGAGTTGATTGTGTTTTTTTTAAAAAAACCTTATATACACCCAGGCAGAGACAAACACCCACACCCCAACAGAGCTACTGCCAGGCTAGAAAGGGTTGGTGTCTGGAAAATCACAGATTAAGTAAATTATGATTCAGGAAAGACAGAATCAGGGCTTTACAGCTGCAATGCAAGCAGTCGATCGCTACAAGAAAAAACTTTCAGCTGCCAAAACTCAAAGTCTTTCTGAACTCGGGGCAATAAACTCGCTGCTCAGGGGCTCGGTGCTCGCTGGCAGCGTTTCCTGCTTTTCTGGACCCAGCACCTGGGTTAAAAATAAAACTCCCCAAAGCTGTTAAAACTACATAAACCCCCCGATCAATTCTCCACATGCTCCTCTGCCTCCCAGTTCAGCACTTCCTGACCAAGTTCTGACCCAGGGGAGCAGTCCCCGGGTCACACACGTTTCAGAGAAATACCCCCCACCTTTTCAGG